CGGGTCAGCAGTGAAAACCAGCCCGTGTCGTTTTTTTGCCCCTGTAAACGTTGGGGGACAGGCAGGACGTGGTGTCTGGGTGGGTTTTGCAGAAGTCTGTTCACCCACTTCATTCTCTGCTGGCTGCTAGGTAACAGCCCCAGCTCACTGACCTTTAAGGAGAAGCTCACAGCGGGTTTAAAATACGAGATTATTAAGATCTTGGGTGCCTGAAGCTTTTGCATATCAGAAAGTGGCAGAAAGATGCAGTTTGTCCTTTGGTCGTGAACTGGAACAGGGAGCCCAGGGAGCTGGTAGATGCCCCGTCCCAGGTCGGATGGGGCTCTGGGCAAGCTGGTCTAGTGGAAGGGGGCCCTGCTCCCTGCAGGGAGGTTGGGCTAGATGACCTCCATGGTCCCTTCCAACTCAGACTGTTCTGTTATTCTAACTTGGCGTTTTTGCAGTATTAGAGTTTTCATCTACATACAGCTAGTGCTGCTTGCTTCTGAGTGCTTGATGGTTTCCTCCCCAGCGTAGTTCAGGGTGATGTATGCTGTGTGTGCAGTGTATGGAGCTGAGATGTTGGTATAGCGGAAGCATAAAGAAGGGCATGCTAGAAAGAAATATATATTTTTAAGTTACAAGGCTGGGTCCTTTTCCATCATTAGGTTGCTTAGGTAGACTTAGGCAAGAATTTATGTTTCTTCAGTGTTGAACTTCCGTGTGCTCAATTGTTACGAGGATTAATCTAATCTTTTGGTGCCACCTGAGAGCACTGCATTGATCTTTCTGGTTTCTGACATTCTTTTCAGTAGTAGAAACTATGCTCTGCAGGGCTTACATCTGCACATTGTTGTAACTTTCTCCCCTATAAGCCCATAGAGGCTGTTCCCAATGATTATGGTTCGGGCAGTTTTATCCCATGCTGCTTTAATGTAGCTGCCCAAATACCCCTTTAATATCTCTTGGACCATTAGTGTATCTGTAGCAAATGCGTCATGGGAATAAAAAGATAAAATTTTATCACTTGCAGATAAGCAGGTGTCCAGTGAAATGAGAGAGGTAAAAGGGAAATTATTTCCTAAACTTCAGAGGATGTTTGAAAAAGAGATAAAGGAAGCTGTCTACCCCTTTTCCACCCATGCCTCGACTGATGTAGTAGGAGTTATTCTTCAGGAATGTAGAACTTGCAGCATTTTACATTTTTCACATCTATCAGCTATTTTCTGTTGTTTCACTTGACTGTTTACTTTTTTTTTTTTTTTTTTTTTTACACTGTTTGCTCTGGCAGGTTACTTTATGGCTGAAGAAAATATATGGTAATCAGCCTGTTCCAGAGTATGAAGTGAATGCAAATACTGTTGATATCTTGTATGAGCTTGCAGAATGCAACGAAGCCAGAGACAGGGATGTTTCTTTGCTGATAGAGGACATGGAGCAGAAGGCAACAGAATATAAAGCAGAAGGTGAGTTTGAAGCTTTGGTTCTCAGTCCCATCAAAGTTAGTCTTCCTTAGTGACTCTGAAGGCTGCCTTTTTTAAAATCTTACACACAAACAAATATATAAAATATATATATAATTGGAATTAACTCATCTTTTGTTCAGGTTCAGCTTTTACTACAATGCATCCTATGCCTTCCTTTCAGCAAAATTTATGGTGATGTAAGGTTGGTCAAGAGCAGTTTTCTAAGCCATCTTGAGCAGACTGTAAATACAGACAAGCAGATTAATTGCTAAAACCTAGCCTTGTGGGCTGAGTAGCACAGTGTTGAAATATTGGCTGGATAGATAGGGAAGCAACCCTACAGCTTACTTTAGAGTCTGAGCTGGTGCTAATCCACTGTTAAGGAAAGCACTGGAGGAATCTGAAATGACAGTGAGGTGATTAAGTTATGCTCAAGGTGCCTAGAGTGGGTTTTTTTGGAGCATGTGAGTGGTTTGGGGGACCATTTTTAACACACATAGTAAAGGATTGTCCCTTCACTGGCTTTTTTGAGGAAAGATTTTTTACTTTTCTGTGAAATGACTGACATTGTACATATGAAGACATTTTTGTAAAAACCCTATTTGTGTTTTTCTTTCAAGTCTTCTAGCAACCTGCTGTCAAGCATGTAAAGATGGTGACCGGGCAGTTGATTTAGGCTGTCAGAGAACATGGGCACTACCAGACAGGCATGGGTGTGAGCTCTGTTGCAAATTCTGGGTCTGCTGTGGATGCTCAGGAGCAGGCTTAGGCTGAGCTCCGCAGGGAGAAGACCTGTGTGTGCTCATCACCATAGTACAAAGGGTGAACTCAAGTTTGTATGAGTTCAGACAGGCAGTTGGGAAAGGAGTGGAGCGTCACTCTTCCTCAACACACTGAATTTGGTTGACAAGAGAGAACATGGCAGCAGTTTGGCATGTTTAAGCCTTCTTTTAAGATGTCTCTTTCCCAAGTAGTGGAGAAGTAGCCAAAGTTTCTGGAGTGGGATTGGGTTCTCGCTTTGGAGAGTCACTTAAAAGAACAGTAATATTAAAAAAATTACAATTTTGGGATGTATTTGTTTTCCAGCTAACTATCTAAAGGACCTTCTGGCAGAAAGCCTGGGTCTTTCCCTGTCCAGTCTGTCCAGCGAAGGCACCAGCTACCTTGATGTCCTAGCAGACAGCGCAGTGATACTTGAAACAAAGGACACTTCTCTTGCCAGGTAATTCTTCCCCCTGTGCATCAGGGGTGACGGTCTTTGCTGTTTCCCTCTCTTTTTTCAATTCAGTAGTTTCAAGCTTGACTTTCACACCAGGAATGTTACTTGTCCAGCTTATTTTGCACCCCTTGGGCAGCTTTGTAAAACACAGGAACTGAGCACGAAGCTCTAACTCTTGATTATTCCAGCAAAGGAAGTCTCTGAAGCCCAAGAAGTGCCTTGGCCAGAGTTAAATCTCTTTTTTGCCCATGCTTTTGTGGTCAGTGGCTGCAGGAAGCTGCCACTCAGGCTGTTGTGCCATGTAGCACAAGCTAGACCAGCATTCATACTGCTTAGGCAAGGACTGGCAAACTGTAACTGGTCTTTCAGTCTCAGCTCCTCATTCCTCCCTCTCTTAACTGGCCTCAGTCAATGTAAGGAGGTTTCCTTAGCCACAGAGAAATGGGAGCTTTAAATCTGGTCTTCCTGAGCCTGGCCTTGACCCATAACAAAGTGTGTTTGTGCTGAGCAGTGGCAGCAAGGAAGGGCCAAAATCTGCCTTGGAATCCAATTTTTGTGTGATGTTCAGGAGCTTGGCCCTTACAGCTCTTCTGAGCTGGAAGGGCAAGCAGCTTTGAACTGTTTGGGAACAGGAAGAGACTGAAATACTGCTGAGCATACCTGGAGACGTGTGATTTTGGGGACTGAATACAGTTCCTTTCAAAGGCAATTTGGCAAGCCAGCAGTGGAGCATCTGGTTGTGATTATATTCACTAGAGTGCTGGGTCTTGTTCACTTCTTCCTACTCGGATTGCTGGGTCATTTCGCCTTCCAGATGAAATCTTTGTTAGTTAAGGGAAGCAAATACCTTTAGTGACTTACTTTCCTCTTCTAAAATAGCTGGCAGTTATCTGATGTATCACAATATGAGAACAAAAACAAGTCGTTTGTGGAAGTGTGGAGAAAATAATAATAATTCTGAGTTTCAGAATAGCTGACAGCATTCCCACTGAATCTCTCTCTCTCTCTTCACCAGCCTATTCTGTGCCATCAATGATATGACTTCAGAGCTGTATGCAACAGAATCAAAGAATAGAGAAATTACACTGGAATTGAGCAACATTTGTCAAAACCTGTCTGCAAAGCTGATGTGGGAAAAGCAGTTAATGGAGTGAGTAATGGATGAGAAAAGGGAAAGATGTAAAGCGATACTGCTGATCTCTGCAATGCGGAAAATTGGTTGTGATAATTAAGAAGGGTAACTGAATTTTCAGGGTTTTGACATGTCTAATTCACAATATTTGGAATTATCTATCAAAAGCTGTGCTATGGACACACTCAGTAATCAAAAGAGATTTTGGGTACCATCAAATCCATTATTTTAAACCAAGAATGGTCTACAAGCAGTTTTCAAATGTGGGCTGGCGTCTTCCACCAGTTGCCTTTGGCTGAGGTTGAAGGCAAGCTTGATTTTCTTACCACATGTAGCGTGGGCTTTGTAGTCAGAGTGAGGGAGCCAAGCAGAACAAAAACCCTTCCCAGGTAAGAATTTCCTTTAACCAGTGTGTGGGAAACTTAAATAAATAGATAAAAATAATTGGTACCAAGTCCATTCCCTAGGGGATGTAATCTGAAGTGCTTTGCCAAGCAAAGCAGGATCAACACCTGCCTTGAGTGGGGATTGGCCCAGATGATCTCCACACCACCCTTCCACTCTAATTATTTTCTGGTTTTTGTCTTTTCAAGTAGTAATTGTGGCGCTGCTTGTAGCAAAGATACCCAATGGCCCTTCTCTGATCTTAAGTTTAGCTTGTGTAACAGGTCTCTTAACTGAATTAGGGAATTAAGCAGAAGACTATTACTCTTTGCTTTTATGCAGATACCTTTCCCCTCGGCCTTTTATTTCCCTGGCCTTCGGGGCTCTGGATGTAACAGTGATGAGTGTTTCCACTGGGAAATCTCAAAGGGAAATGCAAGTTTTTCTCCCTTCTCTCCTTTCTTATGTTGGTTGTACTACCGGGTTTAGCTTGAGCATAGGTAACTAAGCAGTATTTGTGTACTGGTATGTCTTTGAATGTAAAAGTTTGTTTCCTTTTGAATGTTTTTTTTAAGGGATCTTAAAAAAGTAGAGGAACTAAACGAAATAGAAAAGGCCACAGATGAAAGCAAATCCCAGAACTTGAAGTTCCTGAAAAGCAAAACTGATGATTTACAAACCAGGATAAAGGCTGCTGAGGTAGATGGAAAGAATTCTCTAAGATGTTATGATGGTACAGTCATGGTTGGCCGGGCCCAAAATTGTAGTTACGGAGACATCCCAGGAGCTTCCTCAACTCCAAGAGTGGGGACTCTTGGGCTAACAGTACAACATGTTGCTACACTGCAGTTGTTCGTGCTATATTCGTGGTCTTCTCCCAGTAGCTTTCTGTGAAGACTTGTTATTCTTGATACAGATTTTAGTAGTAACGGATTTCACATACCAGCTATAACTGTGGTTCAACTAGCACATGCTTCTGTTGTCAACAAACTGCATTCTTGTTTGCCTATTTAGATCAAAACCCAAGGAAATGGTAAAATCTTTCTCCTCCCTGTTATATTTTGTGGTCAGTTATGAACGAACTCTTTCCTGTTTGTAGGAGCAGCTTGTTGCCAGGGAGTTCGACCCATCACTGACACACAAGTCACTCGTGAACCTGTCTGAGGTGGGTCTTTTGGTACAAGATGGATGTTTTTACAGTGGTACAGACCACGCTTGTTTGGTGGGTGATTTCAGGAAACGTAGTTTGCTATTTGGTTACCTGAACAAATATTAATGGTAAAAAGAACCACAAATAAAAATCCTGTAGATTAATACATCTGCATAGGGGTGTGTTGGATGGCTTTGTCTCTCCTAAAACCTGAGAAGCATCTATGGCTGCTGAACTGGTACTTTTTCTTCAGGGTTAGATGTGGGCTTACTTTGGACTTGGGAAGAAGCTTTCCTTCTGGATTGATTGATGGGAACAATTGGAATCTTTATTTTTGTTCCCTTTTGTTTTTCCGTCTCTTCTCTTTCTGCCTCTGTCTGTAATTGGGAATATAGCCTGCTAGAGAATTTCCATGGAATAAATTCCCTGCCCCTGAAAGAAAATTGGCAGCCGTTATCTGCCTCCTCTTTTTGTGATCTGTTATAAACTGAGTGGATATTCTGTGGACTATCCTCTTACATGGCTACCTGCGTATTGCAATTACTTGATAGAAGGACCCAGGTGATTCTTTCTAGTTTGTGTGAAATAAACCTGCTTTCAAACACTTCAGAGTAAGGGGAGGAGGTCAAGTGAAACCCAAATTCTGAACTACTGTGTGCTTTTTCTTTTTCCGTGTGTCTTTAAATATAAATGTTTTTCAGCTGTATTGTAAGCCTGTTGTCCTGGTTTCATCTGGGACAGAGTTAACTGTGTGGAGCAGCTGGTGTGAGGCTGTGTTTGGGTTTGTGCTGAGGAGAAGCTGATCACACACTAATGGGCAGAGCTGCTGCCAGGACAGTCAAGGACTTTCCAGCTTCTCTGCTGGGCCCGTGTCTGCAGGGGCAGGAGGAGCTGGGAGGGAGCACAGCCCCAGTGACCAGCCCAGGATTCCACCTCAGGGTTAGGACTGAGACCCAAACTGGCCAATGGTCTGTTCCATCCCATGCCCGGCATGGCCAGTATATGGGTGAGGCTCTGAAAGCGCTCGCTCTCTGGGTTGCCGCTTTCTCAGGGTCATCTTGCTCTCTTGGATGCTCAGGCTCTTATCTCTGTTTTGGGACTGTCCCTGTTCTGGGATCGTTATCCAGGAATGGGCTGAGCCTTGGTCATGGGGTGGGGAGCAGCTTCACTGTGTATCACTCATCTTTATATCTGTATACTTGTATATATTGCTATTATCATTCTCATTATTATTATAGTTGTTATTTCCAATCTTATTGTAGTTTAATTATTAAATTGTTCTTATCTCAACCCACTAGTCTCTTTTCCCTTCACTCCCTTTAATTCTCTCCCCCATCCTGGGAGGGGGACGAGAGGTTGTTGTGGTGTTTTGCTGCCAGCTGGGGTCAAAACCGTAACACCCAGCAGGATAATTTTTCCACTGGAAAAAGCACATTTTTTGAGGTACTAGCTATGGATTCTCCAGCTTTGTGCTAAAGCATTTGTACACATGTTTTTCTGTTTGCACTCACTACACTTTAATATTATTTGCTATTACTGTAATGAGAACTCAGTTTTTCTCCCCATTTGTTTTGCCAGCTGTTCTTGTGTATTAGTCAAGTTGAACAATGAAAAGAGTTTTCCTCATTTTTTTATGTTGTTGTTCTCCTGAACAAGCAGTGGGTGGCAATGTTCACATTGCACAGTGTTTCAGAAGAGTACTAACCAAAAATAACTTCTGTTGGAATCTTACATACAAAAAGTCATAGGCAATTTTCTAGTTTTCTCATCTTCTAGAACCTGAGCATAAAGGTAGGTTTGACTCCTCAACATTTTTATATCTGCTTTGCCAAGAGCTCAGTGCATTGAATTTATCTTCCGAGTGCAATTTTCTTTTTTTACTTTAAGTTGATTGTTTGAAAAGAGCTGAGGACTCTGGAAGGTGCTCAGTTTTCAGCTCCAAAGAGAAATTATTTCCCCTTGTTAACAGAATAAGCAAAGCAGTGCAGATATAAAGGGAGCGTTTTGCTGCTGCATGTGCAAAACTGTTTTCACACAGAAGCCATGGGTGTGAGAATATATCCCCATCCTTGGGGCTCGGTTTTCTCCCTGGCCTGTAGTGAGGTTGACAGTGCAAGTTGTCTGTCTGGTGGATTCTCATTTGAAATCCCCTCTCCTTTCAGGGAGGTGAGATCAGGTGGTTAATGCTGTGAGAAAAGATATCTGAAGATGTCTTCAGAAGGAAGAAAAATTGATACCTTTGTGTAAAATTTGAACTGGGTTTGTCTGACTGATAGCTGAATGAATACCATATCTTCATCAGGATCATTAAAGTTGTCACCAACATCTGTGAATTCTGAAATGCTGTAGATAATTGTGGATCTATTTCACTGATTTATATCACTTCTACAAGTAAGACTATAGAATGTAATCTGCCTTGCTCTCTTCACAGAAACTGGCTGCACTGAAGGAAGAAATTGTGTCTTTGAAGAAGGAAATAGGTGTCTTCCTAGACTTAACTCCTGTAATTATTTTTTTCTGCTGTTCTGTTGTATTTGCTCTCAGATTAATTTTAATAGACTTAAGAATGTATAGGATATTGTTGTGATGGTTTCAGTGGACGGGTAGATGTCCTACAGGTCTACTAATGGTGTAAATGGAAGACTTTACTTAAACAGAACACTATTTATTAATCAAAGACAAGAAATTAAGTATGCTTACCAGGCAAACTTTGTTCTAACAAAATGCATAGATTTGCTGGGTGAGCTCAGTATCAAGATGAATTAGCTAGAAATTAGACAAAGAAATGTGGAAGAAAATAGAATTCCTTAGTATAACAATTTTTTTTAGACTTACCAATATATTAGCTTCAACAATTCTAAGGAAATAGTCAAATGTAGGCATTGTCCTCTAAACAAATACTCTAGCTTGTGGGAGTACTGGCTGCTCCTTCATTTTCTTTGATTTCTCTTGAAGGTGCTGGGTACTCAGCTCTCTGAAAACACAGGTTTCTCATTTAGGTGACCCAGTTGCAGTTTTGTAAGCCACTGTCTGTGTCTCTTTTCTTCATTTTATATTTTGGCTACTGGCACTCTTGGTCCCTGTGCTAGGAATTACTGTCAGACTGCTGTGAGAAGCATCTCTTAATAAGGATTTTACTCTTCAAATTAGAACGCTTGTTACAAAAGACTTTCAGTTAAGGGTAATTTTGTGAACAGTTTTAGAGTGGCTTAAAGAAATCATGGGTAAACAAGACTTTAGTCCATGAAACAGAAAGCCTTGGCTTTGTGATAGCTGTACATCACCACCTGTGCTATTTGGGCTTACTAAACCCAGGTATTTCCAATCTCCTTTGGAAGTTTGCCATTGCTTTTACAGATGAGTATTAAGGACTTTTCTCTTTGTCATTCAGGGGAGAGGTAGCAAAAACTGGAGTGTGAATAGTTGAATGGGGTTTTTCAACTCCCCCCTCCCTCCCATCTTGCTGTCAGTGGAGACAGGGAGAGCCCCAATGCCGCACTTCTGGTGCAGGCAGAAGGAGGGAGGAAAGTTTATTCTTGCAAGCTTACTGTGTTTGGAAAATTCATTCATGGATGTGTTTAAAATCCAGTTCCTTGATAGGTAGGTTTGGAAAATTGCTAAAAATGGGGTTTTTTTAGACTTTAGGCCATACCAGACTTTTGAAAAATATGTGACTGCCCAAACCAAACTGATACTAGGCTTTTAATGTCAGTGCTTTTTGCATGTGAAGGGTGTACACAAAATTGATTTTATTATCCCTGAATTCCCATCATTAACACTTGCAATGACTCTGTTTCCAGCTGAAATATTGATTTTTATGTCATTTTCTCTCATTAGAATCCTTCCCTTGCACAACTGAAGATTGAAGAAGCAAAACAAGAACTGGTAAGAGGTGTTTATTTAATCTTTCACAGAGATTTAAACGAGTGCTGTCATTCCAAAACAAGCTACATATATTAATTGGTTGTGGATTTATCTACCTCGAATTGTAGCCTTAGTGATCTCTAGAGGGGAATTAACTGTTGGAGGAATGATATCTAAGCTACAAAGGCAGTTGGGCATAATGGTATCAGTGGGATTAGCTATCTATATCCCTCTGGATTTAGTCTGCTTCACCTGTCAGAATGTTTATTCACTCAGCTGTGTTGCAGCTTCTTGGTCTCACAACCTTCCTTGCTGCTCCTGAACTCTCAAAGGGCTCTAGGGCCCATGTTTTATTTACCAGCTGCCTTGAAGACTTGTAGTGGGGACTTTTCCCTATAAAAAGTAATGCCCACTTCATCTGTGCTTTTGTAATCTGCGGGTATGTTTGTTGGGAAACAGTCATATAAAGTAATGTAGCTTTCCAGACTGAGCTGGGCTGAATTGGAGGATAAAACTTGTCTTTATTTCTTTGGGATACTATCTGCTTGCTCGTAGATACAACATGAGGTATTTGGTGATAATCCTTAAAGCTGTGTTAAAAAATCGCAGCTGTTTGAGAGTAACTTGTACATTGTCAGATGACCACCTGGTAAGTGACTTGTTTTTGATTCAGAAATACAAGTTCACCTTACTAGTCTGAGGCTTTTATCAGTTCAGAATATGCACTTTTGGAGTGTACCTGCTCAGCTTTTTTTTTTTTTTTTTTTCAGCCTTTCGCTTGGCAATTTCTCTGTAGCTATCTATGGACATTACTGCTGTGTGCAGTAGTAAGACCCTCCAGTTCAATATTTGAATTAATCATTGCTAATACTGTCCCAAGGTTTAGTCATTGTAGATATGTTTGTCTAGCAAGAAAGTAAGAAAACTGCTTCACAGTTACTGAGTCCTCTTGGTTTTCTCTCCTGTTAGGAGGCCTTGGAGTCAGAGCTCTCAAAGGAGGTTGACATGCTGACTCTTGAGATACCAGAGCCCAGCAAACTCCAGTTCAAGTGAAGTGGCCTTCATGGAAGATTATTTCCTTTCTATTGTCTATTTATTTGCACTGGTAAAACATTTTGGACTTCTTACTGTACTTCCACAGCTTTCTGCCTTACTCTTCTTGCTGTTGGATGGCACATTTGTGACCTTTCAGCAAGCATGCTTATTTTTAGGTGTTCACGTAGCATTGTATTTGTTAACATCACCTATTTTTCATAAAATAGCTCCCAAACTTACTGTTTTCTCTACTGTTTTGTACTAAAGCCAAAAATCTGAAAACCTCCTGTGAATGGGGAAAAAACAAAATCTAGAAATAGTGGCAGCACCTAAGGACATCCATCACGGACCAGGGCAATGTCCAGACAAAGAGCTGTGGTGCTCTCACAATTTGTAGCCACATGTTTGCAATTAGGAGTTGCGAATATTATAGTAATGATTTATCATGGTGTGCCTGTCCCCAGGAGCTGTTACTTCACTGTAGAAATTGATTTCACTGATCTGCAGGAAGAGAGATTCTTTGTGTCCTCCCTTGAAGCAATAGGATCATGAGATCTGTATCTGATTATGCTTAGGGTCTGATTTCTAAGAAGCTGCAAGCTCAGACTGATAATGGGTGTCAGTGAAGTGCCTTCCTCACCTCTTTTCTTTCACCTTGATGGTGAAGAATTGAAGGATGTTCAGAGCGCCAAGGCTCATGGGTATCTACTGCCTTGTCTTCCATATGCTGGAGGGAGCTGCTGTTTAATTTCAGGCTTTTAAATCAAGAAGTTTGGAAAGGGTTAGTTGCTTTAGTTTAGTGAGTTTCTATGATTCTAGAAATCAAGATGGCAAGAGGGAGTAGAAAAGCCTTCTTTTGTACACTTGAGCTAAACTGGCAAAGGGGATATTACCTCACAGGGAAGTGGTTGTAATGCAGGGATGACTACAGGTATAGCTACTGCTTAAAAAAAAAAAACACACCAGAAGAAGGCGAGGGAGTTGTCTGAATCTGGAAAGAGGAAGAGCATTATCTGATCTTTCCTTTTGTGGAAGGGGAAGGAAGTCACAGTTTTGGAAGGCATCAGAACATACCTGGGTAGACAGCAGAGAACGATTTAACAGGGAAGCCCTCGTAAGGCAGTGGAGGTCATGGCCTGATAATTAAGGAATCTTAATCACTGCAGGCTTTTAAGAGCAGATCAGAAAAGCTTTGCTTAAGTGTTTATAATGTGAGGGAGTGTTGATCGTGCTTTGGGATAGAAAGACGGATTAACTGGGGTTTGAGGATGCTACCAGCCCTGCTTTTCAATGCGAGCCTCAAGACTTACTCAGCTAATATTAGGTGAAGGCTTTTTATCACATGTGTAACCATGACTCAAGGTTTGTGAGGATTTTTGTGGGATTGTGGCACTCAGCACCACTTGATCATGTAATACTGCACCAGCTGTGAAACCTGGGGGGTGGGGGGTGTTCTCCCCCTGTGCCTGTAGGGCAGCTGCACCACTCCCGTGCTGCTGCTATGTCACAGTGTGTGCTGTGTCCCCTTCATTGTCAAACAGCCCAAAAATAGACTGTGGCAGGGCCAGACTCTGACTCCAGAGCTGTCCAAAGATAGCCACATGTTGCTTCCCAACATTGGAAATGCCAGGAGAAAAAAAAAAAATACCCAGCAGCTGCATTCAAGCTGTGTGCCACAGCTGAGCCATCTGCAGCACATGCAACATAAATCAGTGGCCAGTTGTTGGGTCTGACAGTTCAGCTTTTGATGGAAATGAGGAAAGTCAAATAAATGAGATTTATGCAGCCAGTGGACTGCTAATAAGATTTCTCAGCTCTTTGGTTTCATGTTTGCATGGGCAAAACAGGAAAGATGGCCTTCCTTGCTGTTGGTGTTTTGGGGCGGTCCAGCTTTTCCAGCACAGGGATGCGATGGGATGCCAGCACAGGAATGCCCGACAGAGGTCCTGCTGTGACAGGAGCACGCCAGCCTGAGCGCTTGTCTGAGAAAATGTTTGATTTTTAGGCTTACCCTCTGCCCTGGCAGCTGTGGAGTGTTTCCAAGGAGGTCACAGCGGGTGGTGAGGAGCTGTGACTGCTTGGCTGTTGTATTTTATGAAATAATCACCCGCGAATGACACAAATGCCTGGAGAGGCCTCTGCTGCTGCAGCCTCCCTTCAGATTACATCAGCTGCTCTGCTCCCTGATTTTTGGAGACACCCATCTATGAACACCTGGCAAGCTGAGAGCAGTTGTACTTGCTGGGATCTTGTGTGGGGCTCGCACAGCTCCAAGGCAGCTGCCCACAGTGCGGGATGCCGCATGGCCACAGACCCCTCGGGTTTACAGACAAAGTGCAAAAGATGTGTGTGCTTTACCATCGTGTGCCCAATTCTTCCTCCTGGAAAATGTGAGGATCCAAATTCCACCTGGGGAAAAAAAAAAAAAAAGGTAATTAAAATTATGCGCTATACATGAAGTACAGTGGTCAGCCTCAAGTGTAAACTTGTACACGTTTTACCACGAAGTGATATGATGTTCTTATTAGGCCAATATGCAAAATAATAATTGTTTTAGGGGAAAAAAAAAATCATGCCCAAACTAGCTATGTGATAGGGATTTATTTAAAACATTTAGGTACTAAAACCAGAATAATAAAAATAAAATGCTAAAGAAATGCAAAATCCATGAGGCAAATTTAAGGCTACTGAGCTGAAATATGTATCTATTTACTCAAAATGCATTGAATCAAAAAATATGGATGGAATCTCTTTTGAGTATATATTTCAGCTACTATTACAGAAATACTCAATTTGTTGCAAACATTTCATTCTGACTGCTTTTCAGTCTTTGACAAAGTATTCATTTTTTTTTTTTCAGATCAATCCTTTAGTAGATATAGAATATTACTATGGTAATTAAATACAATTAAAAAAAATACTTTAAAAATAAATCTTGAAACTAAGGTGGTTACATTTTCTACTGTCTCCAGTAAAACACTCCAAATATTCTTTTCATACTCAATTCTAGTTTGGGTGCTTATAAGCAAAAAGTGTGATGTGTCAAATTGTAAATGTACTTAAGATTTTTTTTTTTATTTCATCTAGTACTGAATAGGTCTTACAGGTCTGATTTTGTATTTCTGAGCTATTATTTGAATTTTTGACTACAGGGTCATCAGTGAAACAATAGTAATCCTGGTCTGCGTGGCTTCACGTGCTGCAGGAAATCCTTCAGTTTATCTCTGAGTATGCAGCTGCTGCTAGTAACTTCAAGTAGCTTTAGACACATTTTTCATTTTCTTATACACTCAATTAAAAAAATTCAGTTCCGGGCTGAAAGGATTTCTGCTTCTCCAATTCAGAAATATTTCCTCTGCAAAAAACTAAGAGGACGCTTTACCAATAAGTGTGTGTTTAAAGTAAAATCTGCGGTTCCTTCCCTCTTCGCTGGGTACCACCTACGTGGGAGGATACAGCGCTGACTCCATCTGCCTTGAAGCCATTCAGCATTACACTGTCCTTCCTGAACCATGTAATCTCCGGTAAAAAAAAAAAACCAAAAAACAAAAACAAAACAAAACAAAAAAAAAACAAAAAACAAAACAAAACGAAAAAACCCAACCAACAACTCAGAAACTACAACCTAATCTAATAAATGCTTCCTCTAGCCTCTTGCTAAATATGCTCTTAATGCTAATTAAGCACAGCTGCTTAATTAGGCAATATTGGCTGGCAAAACCTAGCAGCAAGGAAAGATTTTAGCTCTCTGCTTTCCCCAGGAGATGTGGGCTGTAGCTCGGGGGTGGGCAAACCCCTCAGTTACCCACCTTTCCTATGGTCCCCACTTGGACACCGCTGGTGGCTGTGGAGGTGCCTGGGTGACCTTGTGAAGGAGTGGGAGAGCAGTGAGGGGACGGCTTGGCCACATTTCTGTGGTGCGTTTGTGATTTCAGATGCTTGGCAGCCTGCAGCCCAGCTTGGAAGATGGGCGTTGTTTAAATGTTACTCAGAAGGTGAAGTTTCTATATATTATTTCTGCAGAGGATGCTTAGTCATTTGCCTATGGATACTGCTGTCGGATCCATGAGGATGAGCTCTTGAAAAGTTATTCTCCCAGTCTGGAGCTGGAGGGAAACTTTTGGCTTAGGGCTGGTTGCAAAATGGGAGTAAGGATGAAGTAGTTTTGGGTGAGGGAAGTCCGTTGGAACCCCTTCCAAGCCAAAGTGCTTTCACAACCAGCTTTTACTTTGACACGGGAGCGTGGCTCGGGGTCGCTCCTGCTGTCTGCTCTGGCGCTGAGCTAATTTCCTCCCATTGTCTTTGGAGAAGCGCAAAGTGCTGCAGAGGAGAGGTGGCGGTGGTGGTGATAGCCCCCTGGAAGCTCAGGCTGCACCGCTGGGCCCCTCTGCAGCTGAAGGATCCTCCGCTGCTCCCTTCTCTCTTGATCCTTTCTAGAGATGTCCCACCAAGACTCCCATTTCTCAATTGCATTTCTTCGTGGCGGAGAAGTTCTTATTGCTTCCTCGTGGAGGTAGCTAATGCTGACATCATTTCACTCTTGGCAGAGGTGGTCAAAGAGTGATAAAACGGAGCCAAAGGAGTGTCGAAGAGGCGCTGGGCTGTACTCCCTAAATTCCTGGAGCCACCACCACCTCTTGCCTTTCCTCCTCCCTTTCCTAATCTTTCAGCCCATCTTCCTAAAAATTCAGAATGAGTCCCCTGGTATTTCTCCTAATGTGGCATTTAAAATCTCAGGCAGTAAAGCTTTCAGCACTTCCCTTAGGGAGACAATTTTCCAGCCTACAGTTCTCCATTCAAAAGCTTTCTACCCTGATTCTCATCTTAAACATGCCCTTCCTTAATTCCTCTCCATTTAAATCATTAAGGTATCACCAGTCTTCTCCCTTCACGCCACTGACTTTATTCAAATATTTACAGATCACTAATGTCTCCCTGCTTAGTTTACTAATTCCGTTGTACCTCTGACAGTCAGAATTACTTCTTTTTTTTTCTTTCGTAATGCCTCCAAGCTGCCA